GGGACAGAGAGCATGAAGTGCGCAGGTAAACACCTTCAGATTTGCACAACAGAACACTCTGGTTTTACTAAACTTTTACAAAAACCTACACAACAATAACTTTCCCATTCATTCTTGTGCATGTAAAACACTGGTTTCACTCAAAACTTCAAAACTTGCTCAGCGGTGCTCTTCACATTCAAAACTAGCAATTAACCTCCACAAACCTCTCTCAGGTTTCATATCTGCTCAACATAAAACATAACTTATACACAACCAATTGAGACAGAGCGCATTTAGACCACGCCCATGCTGTGGGAGGGAAAACAACTCTGCACTCTCCATTGATTTGCATTGCATGCTTCTCTTTATTGTTCAGAATCCAATGTTTTGTCCTGTGTCCATTTTTATCCCAAATATCATTGGATCCTCTGATTTACAAGGTCATTAAAAAGCCTTAATACTAATATTGCTTCATATAAGCTAATGTTACTGTGCATCAATTTGATATCACTAAGCTACACAAAAGTAAGGTGGGCTGTGGCGGTGCTGTTGCAAGTTGTGCTACCTTATTGAAATGTTTTACCATGCATTTTTTTTAGGTATGCCTCTAGATAAAACTAAATAAAACTTCTAGGTAGGATATTTCAATGGCCTAAAACTCCTTATCAAAAAGTACTGCCAAAAAGTACCACCAGCTTCTTGTTTGATTGTCCCGTTCCACCTTAAATGGTGCAGTAGTTAATGATTAGCTATTACAAACATTAGCAAACGGGACAAAACAATAATGACCTTTTGTTTCTGTGAAACAGCAAAAATAAGTTAATGTTACTTGTGATATCGTGAGGGGAAGCTACAGATTAGGCAGAGAGGGATTTAACGTTGTTTGTCTTTATTTTATCATCCAACAGAGTCATGGCCTGATGAAAGGACATCCATTACTGGCGTGAGCAGGTACTCTCTACTCTGTCATTTGTCAGTTTTGCTTTCACTTCTTTCTATCTTTCTTTCTTATCTTTTTTGCTTCTGGAATCACTCTTTTGCTTCTGAAGTTTTTATTGCATCTGACTTTTGGGACTTTTAACAGGGCGTGAGTCTTAGAAGAGGGCGTTCAACTGCACTTTCTATTGGTTAACTGATTTGGAGTGACAGGTCTTTTGAACATGTAGCCACATCCACTCTGAGAGCCATGATCTTCTTCTAACATAGCAGAGCACATTTTACTGTGTGTAGTATTGCCAGAGTGGGTTGTGCCCTTATGAACAATGTTGGTTATATTTATTGATGTAACACATGCAAAGAGTCCTGTGTCGAGTTGTGTGAAATATATATTTTGGAAAATGAAATTACGAAGCTCTTATGAACCATCTATCAAGTTTGCAGCTGCTAACGCTAACTAGCCTAGCAGTGTCTGCTAAAGGGCTAACTACGAGAGCTTTGCAGCTGTTTAAATGAGGGTTTATTACCCCTGCTTCTGATGACCTACAGCTCTGCACAGTGTCATCTATTCCTTACCTTAAAACACCTGATGCAGCTGATCAACTGATTATCGTGTCATTCATGAGCTGATCAGGTGTATTGAGTCAGGAAATCGTTGAATCTGCAATGCTGTATGTCGAGGGAAATAATGTTAAGGTAGCACTAGCATAAACACAGTAAAATGCAGAAAATACCACTTATTACTAACAGCTGTGAGATAGCTGATATGCACTAACATTTAATCACTAAAAAGGGAATAAAATTGTCATGGTTGGCCGGATGGCTCATGAGTCCCAAGCCCCAGCTCTTGGGCACCGCCTCCGGTCCCGCATTGAGGCCACGTTAATTTGTCTCACGTTCGATCCGGGTGGCCGAGCTGCAGAGAGGGGGTGGTAACGAGGAGGCGGCGCAACAAGCTCTTGTTCCCTCTTGGCTGAGTGCCTTTTTCTAAAAAAAGAGCAGAGAGGGAACAGAGAGAGAGGGGGACGAGCAGCAGCAGAAGCTTGGTTGTGGAGAAAAGGACTGAAAAGTCTAGTTTGAGGCCACTGAAAAGTGGCCAGTGTAGGTTTTGATTTTGTTTGGGTGTTTTCAGTGCTTGCTTTGCGTCATATGTTCCAAATTATGGAACACTGTAAAAATATAGTTACTGCATTTCACTGAAATACTTGACATTTGACATGACTGTAGATCTGAATACTTGCATTTTGGCCAGTGTAGGTTTTGATTTTGTTTGGGTGTTTTTGGTTCTTTGTAGATAATAAAGCCAATGGCTGCTGCTACTCTGAATCCTGGCTCCAGTGCCCTCCTTGAGCCCGGGGTAGCACATGCCATGCTACAGCCCGCTCACAGAATGCTGCTGCTCCAAATCACTGTCTTTTCATAAACACAACAAACTAACTTTAGATATTCAAGCAGTTTAGTTCCATTACCAGTATGGCTCTCCTAGTTAGTTCTAGAAGACTGCTAGGCTAGTTAAACTCCAAAGGTGGTACAGTTTTGTTCATTCATAAAAAACTAAGTTTATGTTCGTCAATACCCGATGTAACAGTTATATGGGTCATTCTCCCTTTGGAGTGGAAATTCAGGTGGATAAATCAATTTCTTTCATCCCAATACTAAACAGTCTTTATATCTCCATTAACATTTCCTATTATCATACATGCTAAAAAGAGAGCTTAATTCCAAACATACTTTAATTATTAAACCTCTTTAAAATATTGGTTTTTTTTTAATTAAAAATGTTTTCTCAAATGTTGAAAATCAGTTATGTGACGAGCTGTTTTACATATGCAGAGTGACTATGAAACAGGATAAAGAAAGAAAAATTAGAGAAATCATAAGGGGAAAGTATTATTTAATCTTAGGCCAACTGTGTAAATACTGACTTTTGGAGCTGTGCCTAATATTTTAAACATATTTTTAAACTCTGCAACCTTTGTGACATGGTTTCCCACTTTAAATGGAAAATTACCCATATCTTTTTTGGACCGGTCAACACAGAACCGATAAGCATGCGTTACATTAAATAATTTAAAAACATATGACAAACATAGCTCATAACATCGCATATGCCAATACAACGCTTCACTTATTGCAGCATTTAGTATGAAGTGTAGTGGGGCGGTTCATGCTGAGTGGTTACATGTTCAGAAGACCTGTCACTTCGAATCAGCTGACCAATAGAGAGTGGAGGTAAACACCCTCTCCTAAGACCGGCCCCTGTTAAAGTGTGCTAAAATTAGAAAAAAATTAAGTGAAATCTGGCAAAACAAGTAACAAATTTATACTCGAATGAGTGAAAATGAGTGGAAATCTTTTTGAAAACATAAGTTAGATTTAACTCTATCTAATTATTTGTATCTACAACACATTTTAAACATTTAGACACTTAATAGTTTGCTTGTGGATTTTATCAATTTATTTGAAACTTTTGGCACTCAAAATCTCTGATTGGTTGGAGTTTTGACACAAACGTTTAAATGTTTTAAATTAAGCAGATGTGAAACCTGAAAGAGGTTTAAAGAGTTGGGAGCAAAAATAATTTGTGTACCCATTATAGTTTTTTGAATGTGAAGAACACTGCTGAGCAAGTTTTCAAGTTTTCAGTGAAACCAGAGAGTTCTGCACATATGAGTTCTGAATAGGAAAGATACTGTTGTGCAGGTTTTTAAGTTTTGAGCATAACCAGAGTGTTTTGTTGAGCAAATTTAAAGGCTTGCATGCTGGTTGTGTGCTCAGAGCACTGTCGTCCTCTCAAACTGTAATATTAATATTATATATTATAATATTGCGGTAATGTGGGTATTGTCACAGCCCTACATCTTTACATTCTGTTTTTATTTACATTTTGCACAGTGTCCCAAATTTTTTGAAAATGGTGTTAAGAATGTAAAACTTAGTATATTCACACGAATAGTGTATTCACTGTATTTTTTAAAATAGTTCTGTGCAATAATACTACTTTGGCCCTGCATACATTTGGTGACAGCACATATCCTGTAAACTGTAGCTGTTACTGTTATTGTTCTGGTTACAGAAGGTAACTGACAAAAACAGTTGATCAAGTGGATCTCTATTTCAACAGTCCAATTAACCACATCCTGCTTTATTTTTTTCTCCATAGATCTGATATTGGCTGAAATCAATAATTTAAAATGACGTAATTCAGCTTGATCAGAGTTTTAACTAACTATTTCATGAAACTTGTTTAATGAAGTTGCAACTAATGTTTAATGTTTCATGTGAGATTCATGTGAGTTTCATTTTAGTTTCATATTTCAAGCAACCAGTTGCACAAAAGTTTCACTGTGTTAAGCAGGTAAGCCTTGAGCATGTCACTGCTTTTTTAGTTTTTATTCCCTCAGTGAGAGCACATCAATGTAAACTGCAGTGCAATTTAAACCAAAAACAGCAAGCATGCCACCTCTGTACCACAGTCATACTGCTTGAAATATGCTTCTGTGTTAATCAATGTTTATACTTGCCTTATGTGGCAAGCACTTTAACACAAGTCACGCAAAGTGCAACGCTGAGCTCTGTTTGTCTGTTTTTCACAACGACAAGCAGCATTCCACTAGCAGCATGTACAGAATATTCCTATGGCATAAAGCAAGCTCACATCAGCCAAATTTATCCTGTTTAATATTTTACGTATAGTAACAACACAGCATGTAGTAGACTAGATAAAGTTTTGACTAAGGTAGCCTAAAGCAAAGATGAAGGCTACATGTAAAATGTTTTTTATACTGAAGCATTAAACAAATATTCAAAGTATAGCTACCACCAACTACCCCATGGTGATATTGGATGATATCGTGGTGATAACGGAAATCGCAGTGATAATGCACCCAATCATTGTGATATTAAAAATGTGTCAATCCTACAGCCCTTGCTGTAATTCCTATACTCAATAATAATAATAATAATAATAATAATAATAATAATAATAATTTAGTTTTCCCTCTTATTGGCAAATAATATATGGGCCACAATTATATCATGCACCCCCACCAAATCTTCATCATGGGAAGGATCACACTCACCCGTCCCCATTGAGGTGGATCTTGGTATCACTCCACAAGGGCAGAACCATTCCAATAGAGCACATTTTACTAGGACAAAAAATAATACAACTGGTTGTGGCTAAAAAGAGTAGCAGACGGCCAAACATAGCATTTCTCTTGAACCCTGATGGGTTTACCTGTCACTGTTTGTGAAATCCATACCAAGCAGTATATTCTCCTCTGTGTTTTGATGGCCATTGGTGTAAACAACCACCATATAGCGCACATAGTCTGACCAACTGCTCTCCAATCTTACAGCCTGGTGGGAGAGAAACAACACAGGTCAGGCCCCAGTACAACGTATTGCAGTTATCTGATCCAGAAGTATAAATATTAAATAATCAGAAAAACACTAACAATTAACCATTTCCAAACCTCTGCAAGAGCAAGCTCAGTATTATTTGTAGTTATCATCCAATACCGTGTTTGGTTAATCAGTGCTTCATTATGTTAAATTTTGTGTGCTGGTGATAGAAATTAACAAATACATGCGACGACTGGGGGCATCAAGAAGACATCTGGAACCAAATTCTGTTCTTTAAACTAGCTCAAAAGATAACTACTTTTTGGAAAAAAAAGTTTCTTGTTACTTTTTACTGTATTTAGGTTTACTTGCATGTGTTCCATTGATATATGGTGTTTTTTTAAACAAAAACACACCTATAGCCAAGATAAATTATTTAAATAAACGTGCTTAGATGCATTGTTCGTTTCTGGGAAATGTTTTACATAAATTACGTATAACATAAACCATACTGTTTTTTTTTGTCATTTCCTGTGTGAACTCCACCAATGGTTGAGCGTAAGTAAGCAATTCTGATTGCTCAGGTGTTCTATGTTTCCTTAATTGTAAACACAGAGCTGTGAATGCATAGTGTTGATTGTAGTCATTGGAGTCTGCATTAGGGATCTTGTTTTAGTGAAAAAAGATGAATCACATAAATAAGAAAAGATAAACAGTGTAAAAACATAAGATCAAAACTAGAGAACTGATTATGATGTAAAAAGCAAGCAGTTTTTTAAACATGACTAAAGCAGATACCAATGACAACCTTTGCAGAGTAACTGGGCATCTCAAAAACAATATGAAATATTTTTTAAAAACTACTGGAGGTGTAAGTAAGTTGCAGTGATCAGGCCATACCAGGAAGACCACAGCAGCTGATCACAGTAACACTGTTAGAGCTGTGAAGAAACACCCAAAAATAATATTTAAAGAAATAAAATGCACTCTGCGGAGTGCAAGTGTTAAACTGTCTATTCACCATTCAGAGAAGACTTCAAATGACAGAATACAGACGATACACTATAAGATGCAAATATCTCATCAATACCAAAAACAGAAGAGCAAAGGTTTATGGACAGAAGTTAAGAGTAATCTTCATCAATGTAATTGGAAAGGAAACATGCGTAAAAAGATAAGGACTGTAAATGATACGAAACATACAACATTGTCACGCCTTGAGCATGCACAGCTGTTTCTGGAGGGTCTTCATTGACAATGTAACTGGTGATGATGGCAACACAATGAATTCTAAACTGCAGATAAACATATTGTCGTTTGATGTCCAAACAAATACCTCCAAACTGTGTGTCAATTCATAATGCAGCAAGACAATGATCCGAAGCACACAGTACACTTAACCAAGAAGTTAGATAGAAGGAGCCAGAAAGAAAATGTGGAAAGTTATATATTGGCCAAGTCAGTCTCCTGATTTTAACAGAGTGAGCATGCATTTCACCTGATGAAGAAGGAGTTAAAACAAGCCCAAACAAGCACCAGCTGAAAGAGGTGGTATGTAAACACAACAAATTACACTTTTTACTGTATGGTTTATGTTGTATAGAATAAATAAAAACTAAATAAAAGCTGACACTATTTGCTGTAGTATTATGCTCATGTTCTGATCTGGAATATATTTTTTCTAAATATATAAAAAAATAACCCCCTTTAATTTATTGTTCCAATATTTTTGCTTCTCACTATATATATGCAGTATATAATATACTATACACTATATTTTGTGTATACAGAACATTTTTTTAAATAATACTTTATTACTCAGGCGTGTCTGTACAAACATATTTCACGACGTACAAATTTTGTTGCAAGTAAGATTTGTGACTGCATCAGATTTAGAAAATGGTATTGTGCTCACTAGTCTAATTTTATCCTCGGAACGGAGGGCGTTAATCATCGCTTGCAGGTGCTGGGGTAGATCACCTACAGCAAAAGGCACACAGAAATGGTGTGTCATTTTATAATGTCACACACACATTCATTTGACACAGTGACCGAACATGTGTTGAACATGGTGTTACAATTGCAATTCTGTTTCATCAGCCATAATTTTGTAGGGAAATAGAATATGGATAGAACAGAGTTTGCATCTTCAGCAGCAAAGAGCAAAGACAGTGAAAGTTTACCTGTTATCTTATGATGGGTTGGCGTTTTGGGGCCCTGGGCACCCTGCTGTAAAAAGAGTGCTGCTCCTTTTACCATAACAAAACTTTCGTTGAGACTGAAACCACAACACAAACACAATATTATTTAAAGTTTTTAGTAAGTATAAGTTAATAACTATGGAAAAAAATGTGTACGATCCCAACATTTACCTAAGACTTGCCCTTTGACCATCATCTCTCACCAAATCCTGAAAAATAAAAAAAAAATAACTAAATACAATTTTTAAATATGAGAGAAAGAATCTTATTTAAAATCATGTTATACAGGGACTAAGAAATAGATAGGCAAATAGATGTGTACTTTTAGAAATTATTTACATGCATTATATGGCTAAAATTATGTGGACACCTAAAAATCACAACTACATGAACTAGTTGGACATCCCGTTCCAAAATTAATATGGAGTTGTGCCCCCTTTGTGGCTAAAACTGGTACCACTCTTCTGGAAAGGCTTTCCACAAGATTTGAGTGTGTCTGTGGGAATTTGTGCCCATTCTGTCAAAAGAGCATTTGTGAAGTCAGGCACTGATGTTGCACAGGAAGATATGGTGTTCCAGTTCATCCCAAGGGTGTTCAGTGGGGTTGAGGTGAGAGCTCTGTGCAGGCCACTGGAGCTCCTTCACACTGAACTTGTCAAACCATGTTTTTATGGTATTTGCTTTGTGCATGAGGGCAAAGTCATTCTGGAACAGGAAAGGGCCTTCCCCAAACTGTTGCCACAAAGTTGGAAGCATATAATTGTCTAAAATATCTATGTGATGTAGCATTAACATTACTAGACATTAATATTGAGATTGCATGGCCATGTGCTTAATTTTATATGCCTGTTAGCGGTGGATGTGCCTGAACTCAGTAATTAGGAGGATGTCCACAAAAATGTGACAAGTTAGCTGTCACATATTACTCAAAAAATTAGAACTAAAGGCTTTCAGATGCTTTTTACATATAATCTTCAAGATACATTTGGAAAGAAATCAGCCAATGAAGAAACATAAGCATCAGTATGGCAGACTGCGAGCTTTTGCTTTGCACTGGGTGCAACATGTTTAGCTATGTCTCTATCTCTGTCACTAGTCTAGTTACAGTAGTGTTACTAACTCTGTGAATAGTGTAAATAAGTTTCTTGCTCGATGGAGAAGATTATACAGTTAGTTATTTCTAATTTCTGGATGCACACCTCTACCTGTATAATCTTCTTAACACTTTTTGCAAATGAAGTTAGTAACACTTAATTACATGCAGTAACATCACTAGAGATGGAGAGGGAAGCGTAACTAAAGATGGTGCCCTCAGAGCAAAGCAAAGGCTCACGGTCTACCATACTGATACTTATGGCATAGGGGGCAGTTGTGGGCTGGAGGTAGGGAACCAGCCTTGTGACCGGAAGGTTACCGGTTTGATCCTCTGAGCAGACAGGACATAATTGAAGTGCCCTTGAGCAAGGCATCTACCCCCAACTGCTGCCTGGGTGCTGTGGACAGGGCTGCCCACTGCTCTGGGCATGTGTGCTCACTGCCCCCTAGTGTGTGTGCACTCACTAGTGTGGGTGATTCACTGCACAGGGGTTAATAAAGGGTAACTTGTGTTAACATGTAAAACATAATTTTGCTTTAACGCATAAAACATAATTTTGTGTTAACACGCCAAATCTTTGCATGTTAACATGATTTGAACGTTATTGTGTTTTGAACGTGTTAACACATTAAAAAATAGATACTGTATGCATTAACTCGTTCAGTTTGTGTTAAGCATAGGTCATGTTTAAAGGCCACTGCTCAATAATTATGGCAAATGGAGGCCATTTGTTAAACCCTGACATTTTCATCTTCTGCCTCTAAATAAGGCCCAAACCCCAAGGTATTAGGTCTTGTTAGGCTTCACTGGTCAAAATCTCACAAGGCCTCATTGTGCCATTTCGTGCTTGAACCCACAAACTGCCACTTGCAGCAATATTTAGGGTTCAAGCATGCAGTGCGTGGAACCTAAATGTATTTGTTCAAATTTTTAGGGGTCCAAGCACCTTTAGGCACATAGAACCCTATTGTTTGTGCTTAGGTGTTAATTCTTCTTCTTTTTCTGCCCTAAATCTCATTGAGGAGAAGACGCCTTAAGTCATCCAAACACTAGAGGGTAGGTGTAGTATCCCCCCTATTACTCATGCAAGTGAAATAACCTCAATAGGCCTTATGGTGGCACTACAGAGCCACATTTTATGTTTTGGCCCATATCTCCTGAATCATGAGACCTACATTCAAAATTTCTGATTCTACATAATTGCATCATTATTGGCACTAATTATTTAGTTCACTTATTTAATGCATTTTAATCAAAGTTTAGGTAATTAAAATCTACTCAATTTTATTACATGTCACTTGTTGCCAAAATTTTTTTAAGTGACTATTGGTCACATTTTTTACAGTGTACTTAGATTTTTGCAAATTTTGCACTACTTTTGCAAACTAGTCCTGGGGTTTTCAGTCAATCCTCATGTAACTGGTATAAAAAAATCACAAGTCTGAACCTCAATAATCATCAAAAACATATTGATGTCTGTAAGCAATATGGATGCCATATTGTTAACCCCTCTGGTATACTTCTATAATTTTACAAGTAAATTTCTAAGAATGATTTGATATATTGGAATGTATAGCTGACATCACATTTCAAGGCTTAACATTGACCAATCATCATGAAACTTAAATGTTGTGTCTTTGCATGTGCTTTCTAAAAACCAGTGAAATTTAAAAAGATTTGGCTACTAGGGGGGTGCTTTTCACAAAAATAAAGTATATTTTATAGAAATTGCTACTTATTGTCAGACAACTGATCTGAGATCATCTAGCACAGTGTTTCAAACAACTTTGTAGATACACGTATATTCAAATAATGCATAGATTTTTAAAAATCATTAACATTAACTCGTTTGAAAATTTTTTTAACTAGTCGCTGGATTTCAAAATTTGTCTTGAAATACTCTGTGGCCTCTCTAGGTAAAAAGTTATCAAAACAATATTGACTTTTTTTTTTAACTCATTATGGTCTCCCTTTATCAATCAATCATTGCAGCCCTGGCATTGCTTGCTTACATTGTTAGAACTCATAAGCAGTTGGTCTGATCATCTCAAAATTGTAAGAACACTGATATTTTGATGAGATTTTAAATTTTGATCCACATTGGCCTCAAGAGGGCGCTTTAGTGTTTAAAAACACTTAAAATCAATAAAAATCCTATTACAATAATACTATAAAGTTGACAGATAAAAACATGGCACCATATGATTCAGTTCTCTGTCCTGAATAACTTTGCGATTACATGTCAGGAATTGGACTTGTCTGTTATTTTGACTTTTATTTCAAAAGGTTAATCTGAAAACTCAGCAAACACCCTTGCTAAAGACCTCTGATCAATAATCATTAAATTTGGAAACCTGCTGACATGTTCTAAGGCCTTCAACTTCCCTTCTCTATGCTAGAATTGGAAACATTTCTCATATATTTTTGACATTTTGTCAAAACTCTTTTGCATGTTAAACAGAGCTCCGTACATGTAAACTTTAGCATATATAATGTTAAAAGGCCACCGCTTAACATTTATAGCAAATGAAGGCCTTCTGATAAACTCTGACTTCCTTTCAGTTTTCACTTTCTGTAAATAAAGCCCAAACTGTATTAGGCCTTGTTAGACCTCACTGGTCAAAATAAGGCCTCGTTGTGTCAGTTCGTGCTTGAACCCACAGATTGCTGCTTGCAGCTATATTTGGATGTTGTTGCTGTTGGGAAACCTTTGTATACCATGGTGTTTTACCACCACCTACTGCTATGGCTTTAACAATATACAGAAAAAATAGACCAAATAATGGAAAATTTTTAATTTATTTTAAAATATATTCTGAACAATGTCTTTTGGGAGATATTCTTCATAAGCATTAAGACATTGTAATGTTGAACAGTTTAAAGCTTATAATAATTATATATATTAATTAAATTAGCAGCATTAAGGCAGAATTTATTTGTTTGACATGAGCCTAAAATATTTATTTAAATGAAATCCCTGCTGCTGGTACCTAGTGGTTTTGTAATGTGTTTTTGGCTTAACATAATGGGCTGATATTGCAGTGTAAAGGATCCTTAATGGTTTAACGGGTGACCTGGGGCTGATTCCAGATGCATTTGATGGTCTCCTAATAGATCTAAAAGTGTCCTACAGGAAACTAGTGGTCTCTGTAGGTAACCACTAAACCAATTCCCATTAGAAAGTAAAAATATCAGGTTTAAATTTTAATAGCCTAATTGTCTTTTTCTTTTTTAATAGGAATCTCCACAAATACTAGCACCCCTGGTAAACATAAGAAAAATTAGGCTGTAAAAAAATTTTTGTTACTTAACCTTTAATACATTTTGATTTACCTGTCACCTGTCACCTGTCAAAATAATCCTGCCAAAATTCTACTGCCCCCAGTAAAATCCCCCCTGTTGAATTTTGAGAAATATGCTTTATATGCTGTAATCTATGAACTAGAAGTCAGCAGAACAAGTTAATCATTCCAGTCCTAATGCATCCCCAGAGATAAGAGGGGCATAATTTTGACAGGTTCACAATACACCTTCTGACTATGTAAAAGATGAAGCCTTTTCAGCCAAAATTAATCTTAAATTACTACCATTACAACAATTGTTCTTACTGCAATTTTTAATTATAAGCAACTCTTTTATGCAGTATTGTATACTAATTTGTTCATTTGTCTTAGCTATGAAAGCAATGAAAGTCTGGTTGCTGAATAATGACAAGAAAAACAAGTCAGCTAATACTGCAACGTCAGGTCATCAGATGTGAACTTTATTGCTCCAGACAGAGGTTTAAAGCTGTGTTTAATGTGTCGTAACACATATCGTCATGACTGAAAGCCATTCAGCCCCACCAGTTCTCAAGTACTGCAACAACAACAATCGTTTTTTTTTTTCGTAATATTAAACTAAACCATCGAGTGCAGTCCGTAACGTCCACATGTTTACGTGAAGCGCGTGCACGCGACGGGGAGTCGGATTCTGCCGGGGAGTCGGAATTCGGCACAACACCGAACCACTCCGTGACGCTTGGTATTTCACACCGGACGTGACACACAAGCGTCACGAAGCAAGAGCGGTCGCTGTTTGTGTTGCGTTTTCACATAATATAAACGGCTACAT